ATGCAGCGTTGAGTGCACCTCGCGCTCCACGTCATAGCAGAAAAAGCGTGCGCACCGTTACTATGGTTACTAGGCAAGTGAGGTACAGAACAAGATAGCCTAGTTTAATCCGCTGTGGCCACAAATGACAGAATTTAAACCCCAAATAAGAGCTTTTCTGTTAAAAGAACATATTTTCTACCCGGTCTTTTCAATAGTATCTGGCAACCATGCGCGCGCGTTCTCTCTACACTGCTGAAGAAGTGCGGATGATCTGAAAACACAGACAAGCTGGAGTTCAGCGATCTTTATTTAAGATTTTCTACTTAAATTCAAGTGTCATTCAGTCGGTCTGTGTTCTGTCACGAGCCGCTTGCGCTGTTTGTGCGACTAAATCTGCGATCAAAATGCAGGCTGAGATATCCACCAGTGTTCATAAGAGCAAGAATGCAATGTTTCCCGAATATCCACACGATTTCAAACGTGACATTGATTTTATACAACAGTAAAAAAGAAAAGAAAAAAGGGTAACATTAAGTGATGTACTACATTTAAAACAGCATTGTCAGGCTTGCTCTGTTTTGCAACGAAATGTGACTTTGAACGAATCGTGAGATTCAATGAATGAATGACTCAAAGACTCACTCATAAAGATAGTGAGGTACTGCCACCTACTGGCGATTTTAATGTTTTTTAACATTGCAAATTTAATGAACATTGTTTTATTTAAAGCATTATTTCTTTTTTTCTTTTTAAGGTATTACAAAGGTAAAAAATGAAATGGAAAAATGTATTAAAGGGGGCAAATCTTGTCCCTTAATAGAAAAGGTGTGACTGCACCAGGGGGTACGGCACTCTAAAACATTGGAGAACCAAATTATGTAGAACTGCACAAGTGCTACTGCTAAAGAGTGCAATTTCAATAATTTCTCATAAGCTTAATTGAATTGGCCTAGAGAGAATAATTATTATTACATTTTCTGTCTAAAGACTACATGGCTATAAAATAACTACCAAAAGTAAAGTAACTGCAGTTTGACTAAAAGTTGACAAAAAATGCAAAGACTTTTCGTCAACTACAACTATAAAAAACAGGATGACTCAAATGTGATTAAGACCAATAAGCATTTCCGTAAATCAAAAATGGCTGCCAAAATTAACACTGGCCTACATACACGTGCGCGCTACAATGCTGTTGCGTATGTATTAAATATGACTGATAATTTAAGTAAAATGTTTTATTTAATTCAAGTAGCCTCCTTGTACATAATTAGTTTCTAGGGTTAAAAATGTATACAGATTTGACATTTTCCCCTCATACTTCTGTCGGAATGGGTACGAAGTTGGCATTGAATTTCATTTGAAATGGTATTAAAAAGGTCTTAAAAAGCCTTGAATTTAAGTTGGAGGATCCTGGGGGTACCCTGTAAATGTATTGTTTTACTATAAATTAAATGTATTTAAAGAGCAACATGCAGGTTGGACACCCCTATGTAGCATAGTGTATGTTGATGATAAAACAACTAGATTTTCTGAACTGGAGTAATATATATTTAGCCATTAACGATATTTTGAGAGAAATTGTGATAAAATAACTTCCACTAACTTCCAATAACTTCCATAAAGCACTAACCGGAAGTGACGATGGGCGAGGGAGTCTGGTCAAGCTCAGGTTACAAAGGTTACAAACAGAGTTCTCCGATGTTGACGAGCATGCCTATGGCCCACAGGTAGGGATGGGGCCGATCCGATCCAGTGTCGGTATCGGGACAGATACCAGTGTAATTCATGTAACGGATTTTCCCGATCCAACCTGCGGAGATATCCGATATCCTGCTGAAATGACTCCAAAAGTGATTCCCGCCGGCCGGTAGGGGTGGGCGATATGAGCAAAAATTCATATCACGATATTTTTCACTGTCCGGACGATATCGATATTATATCGCGATATGAGAAAAAAAAATTTGGAATCACATAGTACACCTTAGTTAAATTACAGGCAAAATATGTAGTTTAACACTAGATAACTAGAAAAAGGTGAGGCATTTCATTGGACATAGACCTGAAATGTGTTTTTTTATTGTGCCATTTTTTTTCTCAAAAAGTGCAAACGTGCTACATGAGGTAGGCCTGAATGCACTTGTTATGTCTTTCCACTTTTTGCTCGTCTTGTCATAATGAGAACCGGCAGCGAATGAAGACTTTATTGATTTTAGAGTGAGAGCCGTCTTCGGGTGTGCTCTGTCTCCCGGAATATCTGTTGTTATAGTTTTGCTTTTTTAAATTAGTTTTTATTTTAATATCGTTTTCAATTTTGCTTTAAATTTCAGTTTAATTTTAGCTAGTTTCATGAATGGTTTTGTTAGTTTTTATTTTGCAAACACATTTCTATATAGTTTTTATTTTATTTAGTTTCAGCTTTAGTAATAATAGTTTAGCTTTAGCAGAGCAAGCAGAACACTTCCAGTGTAGACCAAAGCGAGACGTTTCATTTAAGTTTAATATTTGCACAGATTACAGTTAACTCTTGTGCAGACATCTTAATAATAAAAATAAAATAATGGGTTGAGATTGAACAAAGCACCAAATAAATAGAACTTAAAAGTATACAAGAAAAAAACAATGAACATTTTCATACAAAATAATTCATTAGTGTAAGGAGACAGAGTAAAGGCCTACAGTTTGTACAGTATAAAACCCATTACGTCTATGGAGAGTCCCCACAAAGATAGTGGACCAGTGTGTGTGAATGCGCGCGCTTATGTGTGTGTCGTGTACGTATGCGCGCGCTCATGTCTGTGTCGTGTCCTGTTATTCATAGCCTAACGTTACATTGCGGGGAAATGTCTCCACGTGGATAATATTATTAGCAGTAAATGTTTTGTAAAAACAAAGATAATAATAGCAGCTTTCAGCCTTTCAACCTTCATGAAAACATGACATCTCAAACATACAGTAGCCTGGAACTTTAACGTTTTTTTGTGCTCGAGGAACTTGTTTTGGTGTTGCACCCGCGTCTCGCAAATGAAACGGCATTCTAAAAATGCAGCGTTTAAGTTAAAAGTCAAACTTGCGTTTTATTACCTTGTTATTTCCCATTCCACTGCAAAATATGCATCCTTTATGAACAGCCGCTTAGCACTAGCGATGTGTTCTACGTTACGGTCCTTCATTGAACGCGTCACAGGACAGCGGTTAATCGCCTCAGCAACTTCACGCGTATGAAGCGCCAAATCAGCCACTTCCTTAAACAGCGTATTCGATTCTGTATCGTCATTAGTGTTAACAGTTGTAAAGAGTACCAAATTGAACAAAACAATATAACTGCAAAATTTGAATTTATGAATACGGTATCCTCGGTATCGCAAAATCCATATCATGGCACAACATAATACCGGTATTCACGTTCATACCGGTATAGCGCCCACCCCTACCGGCCGGCCAGTCTGCTAGCTGGCTGCAAGCTGTGGAATGGATTTCCTGAACGGAGGCGCGGCTCAATGAGACACAGAGACCCCCCTCAGGAAATCCATTCCGCAGTTTGCAGCCAGCAAGCAGGAAAGCATTGAGCTGTGTGTAAATACTTCACACTGGAAACACCGCAGAGCAAGACAGCAAGATGCAATGTTTGCAAATCCGTATTAATTAAACCATGTGTCTGTGATGCAAAAAATCTCCAGGTCTATAATTCTCCGGAGTGAAATGTGCGTTACAAACGAGCGAGTGTGTGGTGACAGACGCGGCAGTGAAGTCTGCTCTCTTCACCTGCACAAAACGCACCCAAGAACGAAAAGCCTTGTTTTTCCTAGAAGGAAAATGATGGACACGATGTCCTGACAGGCTGGAATTCGTGCAACCAGCACAAACACAACAATTTACCATTATGGCATCTCTAATACTCGATCTAAAACTTTCTCTGTCTCTCACTACCGCTCTAACTACAGCTGACCGCGAGCTCTTATTTGCCTCGGCCTACGTCATATGACGCGTTGCTAGCGGGAAAGGCGTATTCCAGAGCCTAGCACATTTTCATCAAAATCTCTACATCAAATGAGATTTCATTAGTAATTTCTACATATGTGTTTTTAAAAGACCTCTTCAGACAATATCAAGTATTAATTCAGTTATAAATTCAACCTGCACGTTGCTCTTTAAATGTCTGAAACCTAAAATAAACATTATGTGGTTAAAAACACTGAACAGTTGTGATATAGCCTATGATGACAAGCGCTGAGCGCGTCCGTCTTTGGCTCAGCGCCAGCCATAGCGCGAAAGCACAGTTTGAATCTGGCAGTGATGTCACGTTACTGTACATTCGCTCCTTAGTGCTCAGCTGCTGCAGAGTGTGCCGAAATCGAAATTGCTGATGAGATATAGAGGAACATATCTAGTGGAAAATGAGAATGTTACGAAAATAAGAATGCATTACTTTGCACTTATATAGTCTTTTATTTTGGAATTTTAAGAGCAATAAACATATTGCAATGTTATATGTAAATCAACATGTATAAAGTGCTATTAGTCAATTAATGGGGAGATAATCGAATCCAAATCGAATCGGACTGGAAAAATGAATTGTTAGATTAATCGATGCATCGAAAAAATAATCGCTAGATTAATCGTTTAAAAAAGAATTGTTTATCCCAGCCCTAATTCTGTATAATTATTGAGAGTGGGATAGTGTACCAGACAGGGGCCCTCATTTATATTTTTGTGATTAGTTACAGCTTACTTTGTTACATTATGATCAGGTTGATCGGAGAGCAATTCGGGGTGTGCACTTAAGGTATTTAAGGAAATCGGCATGAAGAGCTGAAAGAGACTTGCTTCCTGTGCTGCCTTTTTTCTTGCTGTCACAAAATGAAAATAGTAATGAATAACCTATAATCAGTGTACATACTGAAAAATAGTTGTACTTGTATCGTTTAAGAAGAACCATCTTAAGTGCAGCCTTGTGTGATATCTGCACATTTAGCTTGAAGCCAAAGTTTTTGTAATTTTTTGATTTTCTTTTTCCATGTCCTCTAGCTTTATAAGCATGTGTTTGCTCTGTGCACATGTAAGTAAGCAGTGGACAAGAGCAGAGCCAGTGCTATGCCTTCAGTACTAGTGGCGTCTGATTATCTGCTAGTACTATTCTCAATTGCTGGTACACTATTTTATTTAAAGTGGGGGATTATTCTCATTTAACGTTTGTGAATTTTATTTCTATCTGATTTGTGATATATTATTAATGACATGCTTTAGACAAATGAACTAACAGTTTCATCTCGTAAAATTGAATATATCTAGCAAGAGCCCTGGCTGTTTGTGGTCTTGCTGAGCTGGTTTGAAGTTCTTACTTTAGTGGACACTCATTTGGTGTTATGTGCTCTCAATTGTAGGCAAAGAAGTATGCCATGGAACAAAGCATCAAGAGCGTCCTGGTCAAACAGACCCTCGCCCATCAGCAGCAACAGCTCAGCAACCTACAGGTAAAACTGCTCAAGAACGTGGGAAATAGTATTTTTAAACTTTCAATGCTTGGTGTATTCGTAAACGATTGTAATTATGTATCATAATGTGAATGTTATCTCAAGGACCCTTTCTAAACTCAACTGACAACATCCCACTGTGGTACAACAGTCAATGACAGTTGGTTTGTTTTTTTCCTGACAGATCCCTAATTCCCTTCAGATGGCCTCATTAACGATGGGCTTTGGAGATCCCCTCTCACCACTACAGTCTGTAAGTCCAGCACAGTTTCTCCAAGTAACTGCGTAACCTTCATTCCTGGTCTGTTTGTGAATGCAGTAGTAAATGTTTGTTTTCCCTCCTTTTCTTGGCATATATGTAGTTGTTCAGTACTCATGTGTGTAATGTTTGGAGGTAAAGAAAAGCCAGTGCTATGTCTTCGGTGCCAGCATGTTTATTGTCTGCTGGTTCTATCCTCAATCATTGGAACAAGCCTATGAATGATAAACACTTTGAATTAGCAGATGCCTGACTTGGCACCATCTGATCATATCAGTTGTCCATTACAGGTTGCAGCACAGAGGCAACGAGCATTAGCCATAATGTGCCGTGTTTATGTTGGCTCCATCTACTACGAGCTAGGAGAAGACACGATCAGACAGGCCTTTGCTCCTTTCGGTCCCATTAAGAGCATTGACATGTCCTGGGACTCTGTTACATTAAAACACAAGGTCAGGAGGTCTTTTTTTATAATTGTGAGGTGTTTTATAAATTACCATTTAATGTTTGTTTATTGATTATTGCTGTATTTTTAAACTGACGGTAATCTGCTCTTTCTGCAGGGTTTTGCATTTGTAGAGTATGAAGTACCAGAAGCAGCACAGCTCGCTTTAGAACAGATGAACTCCGTTATGCTGGGTGGTAGAAACATTAAAGTGAGCACTTTGTGAAAATGAATTTTAATAACTTGTGAGCCAACTTTTTTCCCCTAAATATTTAAAATGAATTCTATAATTTCTGATGCATTTCAACACTTGTAGGTGGGGCGACCAAGCAACATTGGTCAGGCTCAACCGATCATAGACCAGCTAGCCGAAGAAGCACGCGCCTTCAACCGGATTTACGTGGCATCCGTGCATCCCGACTTGTCAGACGATGACATCAAGAGCGTGTTCGAGGCCTTTGGAAGAATCAAGTCTTGCACACTGGCGCGGGACCCCACGACGGGAAAACACAAAGGCTATGGCTTCATAGGTGAGCGGGCGACTGCTTCACCCATTCGGATGAATATAAATGTATCTGACTGAGAGCAGTCAGTCATGGCAGAATGCTGTTCTCTACATGTCTCACAGGGGATAGAGAAGGGTGGGGGCAGGTTCCTCACATGCTTTCATAGTAAGTTTTTATTTCTGTTGTCGTTGTTTTCTTAGGCTCTGTTACGGACATTTGTGCCATAAGTACCCGCTGGTAATTACACAGTAACTGTCTCAGAGCTCTGGTAGATTTATGCTGAGTCTTCTTGGATGCTTTTGAGTCTTAGTCCTCCCTGTTTCCTCTGTAGAATATGACAAGGCCCAGTCTTCGCAGGATGCCGTTTCCTCCATGAATCTTTTCGACTTGGGTGGGCAGTACCTCCGAGTGGGCAAAGCCGTCACACCACCCATGCCCCTTCTGACTCCAACGACGCCGGGCGGACTGCCTCCCGCTGCTGCCGTAGCCGCTGCAGCCGCCACTGCCAAAATCACAGCACAGGTGAGCATTTACACACCTCACTCATCTATTGTTAGTCAGGGAAAGTGTGTGTGAGCTGCTGCTTCCTTTGACATTTAAAAGCCTTCCTTTGTAAAGTAAGGCAGCGTGATTTTAATTCGCTTAGCCAAGCTAGTGCAGACACTTGGTCCTGTATGTAAGGGCTTGATTTGAATCAGCTAAGGCATTGACTGGCATGAAGACTCAGTTATGACACAACATTACTTATTTGAGACCGAGCTTTTACATGCAGAAAGATAACATAGCGTGTAAACTCCAAAAACAGATGGCATGGAATCTGTCCCAGCCGGAGAATCGGACAGAAGACTTCCTCAACTGTCTGGTAAATCCTTCAGGAAATTCTGTTCAAAGCACGCTGGTGCCTTTTTGTTTTGTGTAGAATATGAGTGTGGGGAGAGACTTGTCTTCAAGACCTCCCAGTAACAGTGATGCTAGGTAGTGAATGTTTTCTAGACAGGCCCATATACTTGAAAGCTGAGCAGATTTAGTCGCAGGTGTCTTTAAGTAGCACCTCTGCCAATATTTTTTTAGCTACATTATGCCTCTTATCTGTAATCTGGGTTCTGGCCCACATATTGATGAATTTGTTATTCTGGATTTCTGCTTAATCTCTTGAGGCTTTTATTATCTCTTGATAGTTCTTTATTAATAGGTGTGCCATTAATATTTTAATACTGAGATAACATTTTGGCATTTTTTTTTTATTGTGGATTACTTCCATTTTAGTTAATTTTATTGCATCTATGCTACAGCATAGATCATGCTAAAGTTGGCAAACTATATGCTACTTAATATATTGTAAATCTGTATGATCAATGATGTAATTGTTCTATGTTGTCTCATGCTTGTCATGCATAGTTTAGTTAAAATTTATATTGTGTAAGCAAATAAATGCATAGGTTTTTAACTTGTTTAGCAGTGTCTAAATTAAATATATAATTAATATTTAATTGATACAGATTTCTAATAATAAATTTAGCTTGTTTTGTTACATGTTCTTGACCTTTATTTCAGGTCTTGGGCCTAGTTGCATGAAATGCCTGAATGGTTAGATGCGCAAACCCTTCAGAACAGACACAGCACTATTGTGTTTAATGTCAAGAAACTTTCTATTTCTTTTAGTGGTTAGCTTTTCACGTTTTTATTTATTTATTTATTTTTATAAATGTACATTTAACTGTTCAAAATTTGGGTTGGGAAGATTTTGTGTATTTTGATAACTCTTTAATGCTCGCCAAGGCTGCATTTATTTGATTAAAAATACAGTAAAAACCATTATTCTCTTTTATTATTATTTTTTATAGAATCTAAAACTGTTGTATTTTTAATCTATTTTAAAATTAAAAAAAATTCCTGTGATGGCAAAGTTGATTTTTTTTTTTTTATATATATAGTCCAATGATCCAAACCCAACTTTGCTTTAGAAATCAATTTTAAAAATTTTTATAAAAATTGTCATTACAGTTATCCACAAAGTTGAATATTTGAATATTCGATCTGCAATAGTTCGAAAATTTAAAAATACTATTCGAATTTAGCTAAATGTTGTTTTGCTGGCCAATAAGTGCAGTGGATTCATGATAAATCTTAAGCATGCAACCTAAAACTCAGTTATAACTAAATGCACTGATTGGCGCTGTGGAGTGTGGAAACGAGTTTATCATATTTGATGAAAGAATGGCGTCGTCTGCCTTTAGGCTCAGCAAAGTTTGGTCAACATGGTCATGTTGGGAGCGAACTTTGTGAGGTGAAACTGAGTTATAATATCACCAACGCGATAAGTAATCACATGAAATGCAGGCAGGTGCAGATGTACCCCTGAGCTAGTTGAGAAGACCACTAATCTGATAGCAAAATGATCTCGAAACATCCTTTAAGTTGTTGAGGGAGACTTGTTTCAGGGACAGAAATCATAAAGCTTTGTAAGAAACGTGGTCGCTTAGCACACTATTATCTTTGTGTCCCTGCAGCATCTGTTGGTGGAGCGCTTTTTCTCCTCATCCGGCCTTATTGTTGACGGACTAAACAGCCGACTTTCATCCGAGCATGTAGATATACTTGTTTTTCTCAAGAACATGTGAAACAATATAAACACACGATAACCATATGCTGACTCAAGTGTATATATACATTCTGTATGATAATTGACAGTCTGATTTATAAGTGCACTGCGTGAGCTTAATGCTTCTGTTCATTTCATTTTTGTCTGCACACATTAATGTTTTAAGCTTAAAAAAACACCTCATGATATAATGTAAGCTTGTTGTGTATATCCTAATCATAAGCTTGTTCAGAAATGGTGACAAATACGTAATGATTGAAAAAAGACGTCTTTCTCGTTAAACTTCATTTAAATAAACAATCGAATATTCAAATATTCGAACACAATATTTTTGAAATGCCCATCCCTAGTTGTAATAAATCTTGTATACAAAGGCTTAAGGGACAGCTGAGCATATAGCGTATAACTGAGCATGTACGTTGAGTATATCTTCTGCTATGGAGAGTACAATACATGTAGATATATTTTATATATGAATGCTGACAAAAAAAATCTTAATTTCTCAATAGCCCATTAGCTCAAACTGCCGATTTTTATGCAGCTGGCCCAAGGCTTGTCTGTGTGTGCAAAGGTCTGTTTGTCCTCTCGTGTTGGTGTTATGTGTGCATTTAACGGGCGCTGTCCAGGCGGTGTTTCTATATGTCCCACTCTGTTCTTCCAGGAAGCGGTAGCGGGAGCATCTATTCTGGGTGCGATGGCCGGGGGTACGGGCCTGAACCTGCCCCAGATTCCACAGGCCGTCATGGCTGCTCAGGCCCCAGGGGTCATTACAGGTAGGTGCAATCAGAAGTGGTTTGTAGTATTTCGTCGGTATTGTGGCCCTCTACAATCAGAGTTTTTTTTTCACTTGTGTGCCTTAATTGTGTTGTACGTCTTCAGTATTTTGGTTCTGCATGTAGTTGAATTATGTATGAGTGGGGCCCTTTACTTGGATGTCTTTTGCATGAATGATAGCATTTCATGTATTTTTTAAAACAGGATTGTTAGGAACATTTACAGGAGTCCGACCAAAAGATAATTAAACAAACAGGCTTTATTTTTCTTTCAAAGTCTTAATTCGACAGGCATGACCGCCCACACATTACTTAGGACTACATAATTAGATAGGAACACTAATTTTAAGTGGTTGTCCTCAGACCTGTTTGTTTTACTTACAAAGCTCATTCTGAACGCCCACCATGTTTTCCCATTTCCACATTAGCTTATATGTGCACAATCTCTCTCTCCCTCAGGTTTCTGTTGTCCTACACAGTACTCAGTTTAACGTGGCGTGTCGTGGGTCGTGTCCACTAATAGATTTCTCTTTTATTTTCTCTTCTCTCCTTGTCTCTTTCTTTCTCCTTTTCTCTCTCCTCTCTTCCCCTCCCTGTCTTTATTCTCCAAATTCGCCATGACCCTTCCCTTTTGCTGCACACTGATCAACCAAGTTTGAAGAGGACTGTTTCTAACCCCTTCCCTCATAAACAAATCTCTCATTCCTATTGGCCAGTGAGTCTCTCAGATCTCAGATGGGTTTTTTTGTGGAATTGATCATGAAGGCAAGCCAAGACGACGGATGGGGGTTTCATATAAAAAGAGGAAAAATGACCCCGATCTTAAATCTTTTTTTCTTTCAAACTAAAAAAAAAAGTACAGTCACCGAGGCAAGAAGCGAGCAGGTACAGAGGGGGAATGCTTAAGCAATGCCAGAACTGTCTGATTTCTACATGTTTTTTCTCCCTTTCTTTTTTAATGATTCATTTACATGAAAGATTTCCTGTTACTGCTGAGATAAATATTTTCTTTAAGGAATAGTTCATTCAAATTTAAGACATTATTCAGTGAAAGTCTTTATCCGCTCTAGCACTCCTTGGCACTTTCATAAGTGAAGTAGCAATGCTGGATTCATGTACAAATTATACTTTAAGTCAGATCTTTTCAATCAGTTGATCCGTTTCATTCACAAACAATGTATCATTGACATATTAATTCTCAAGTTCATCTCCCTCATGCTGGGATCCAGTCATTAGTTAACGTCTCACTGGAGGGGAAGATGATCATCAGTGAATAACTTTATAGTTTAATTATTAGCATTAATTCTGAACATTTATTGTCATGCAAACTAGTGGTTTCAACCTTTTTTTTTTTTTTTGTCCCCTCGTTGTCCAGAAAAATATTCTAAAGCTCCCCAAATAGCAGTAGGCAATAGGCTAATGATATTAAATTAACATGATTTATTTTGGGATTGCGGATTTTTCAAAAAGAAAAGATAATATATTTGTAATGATTTATTGTGCCCTGCCCACCTATTATCTCCATCCAACTAATACACTGCTCATATAGTTTTAAGATTTCCTTTTTTGTTTCATATAAAAAGAAGTGGGTTTGAAATGTCAGCCTAGATGACATTTTTTGGGTGAACTATCTTAACATGCTTTTCATTTTTTTTGAAGTGTTTTCTCAGGGAACAGTTCTGTAATGGCTGTGTAGTCTGTTAATAGTCCATTTCGCAGGCATAGAGGGGGATTTATAGGTGTCTAGCAGAGATTCAGTGTCAGACCACGGTTAATAATATACTGACTCGTGTGTTTTTGTGCAGGGGTGACGCCAGCCCGGCCCACGATGCCTGTTGTGCCTCAGGTGGGCCTTGTGAACCCGGTGTTGGCCTCTCCGCCGTCACTCTCAGCAGCTGTGGCTGCAGCCCAAGAGGCAAAGAAGGAAAAAGAAGAGGAGGAATCCGCTCAAGATGGCACGGGCCAGGAGATGCTCAGTGAACAGGAGCACATGAGCATTTCGGGCAGCAGCGCAAGGCATATGGTCATGCAGAAACTGCTGAGAAAACAAGAGGTTAGTTCTCAAACACTAATGTTTGGGGTTGACAAGAAATGATTTGAAAAGTCTTATGATCAAAAAAACGTAAAAACAGTAATATTATGAAACTTCTATATAATTTACTGTTGTCTATTTTAATACATTTTAAAGTTGTTTTTATTTTTTTTATGATGGCAAAGCTGATTTTTCAGCAGTCATTACTCCAGTCTTAAGTGTCAAATGGTCCTGATCCTGTGTTATCCTTACTGAATAAAAGTATTAATTTCTTTAGAATAAATCAATCTTACAGACCCCAAACTTTTGAATGGTAGTGTATGCAAGTAGATAATTTTGCAATGCTATAATGGAGAGAGGTGAGTTTTAAACACTTTTCTGTATGCTCTTTCCTCAGTCTACGGTTATGGTGCTCAGGAACATGGTTGGACCTGAAGACATAGATGATGATCTGGAAGGAGAAGTAACGGAGGAATGTGGGAAGTTCGGAGCCGTTAATAGAGTGATCATTTACCAGGAGAAGCAGGGTGAGGAGGAGGATGCCGAAGTCATTGTAAAGATCTTCGTCGAGTTTTCAGCAGCATCAGAGATGAACAAGGGCATTCAGGCACTCAACAACCGCTGGTTCGGAGGTCGCAAGGTGATCGCTGAGGTGTACGATCAGGAACGGTTTGACAACAGTGACCTCTCTGCATAGACTGTCAAATACATCCTGACCTACATAACCTTTTCTTCTCTCTCTCCATCTCTCCCTTTTCCTCTTTCTCACTTACACAAAGCAGCCGCCAGCCACTCTTCCCAGTGGTACTGGCTTCTCTTTATAACTTGTAATTATTTTTTATCGATGTTGATATTAATATTATTAATGATCCCTTCTTGGGACAGGCAAGGAGATGCTCATGAATATTTTTTTTATTGTTGCTGTACTTTAATGTGAATGACTGGATGCCCCCCTCCCTTTTTTGGTCCATTGGTTTACTCCCCATTCCACCAATCAGATGTTGTTCAAATTCAGTTTTTGTTGTTTTTGCCCCCCTCTTATTGTTTTAAATATTGTCAATAGCCTGTTATGATGCTCTTGGTTTCAAATGCCAGAACAATAAATTCTTCAAATATGACACTTCGGTCTTTTCACTTTATGAAATTGTATGGAAGTTTATTTTGTTGAAGTACACCAAAACATCTTTTTAGTGGTTGTTGTTTTTGAGCTTTGTCCTCTGTTTAAAAGAATAGCAGGTGCTGGAATTATGGTTAAAGTGAAATAAACAAGGTATAGAGTGGATCTAAATGCAGCCATGAGCCAAAGTTTATATTTGCATACTGTTGGTTTAAGTTCAGATCAAACATTGGTCGTTTTATCAGGAGTTGTGTAAACTTTCCATTTGAACTTTGAAAGCAGAAAAACAAATGGTGAACATGAGCATTAAGTTGCATAAATCTGAGGTCTAAATGTTTGTCTTGACCTTTTTGTGAATCAAGGCCTTTAAAAGGTTTTAAATCAAAGCAGAAAGTCTTTTTTTGTGGTGCAGAAATTTCTGCACCATGTGGCTTAGATTTTTATAACTGTCAGTAACCCGGCGTAGAGGAACTTGATAAATGTGCACAGTTGCATATTTTCTGAACATTGTGTCTTTGAGATGTTAAATTGGGGAAATGCTTGTCCCAAAGAGAATTTGCAATGCTAGTTTTGTCAGTTGTGTTGACATGCATTTAGTTTATAATGGTTTACCACCTTACAAGTTGGGTTTGAGTCATGCTGGTCTTTATATTATATTGGCTAGTCTAAAGACATTTAGATAGACATATCTGAATGTTCTAATAAGAAAATAAAATGGGTTTTGTTGAGCTTCAAGATTTTATGACCAAAGTATGTTTGAAAACTTACTTGCTGATAGTGTCCTTTGATTTATTCTTTAAAATTTCCTGACTTGGTCTTAAAAGGGTCTTTTAAAAAGGGGTCTTAAATTTATCTTCATAAAGCCTGCAGAAACCCTGTCTGGTTTCATCATCTTGGGGAGGGCCTCTGGTTACAAAGTAGACCAATCACAGCAGTTGTGGTCTGTGTAGATGTAAGATCAGGCTAACAGTGCAGAACATCAGTTACTGTGCAAGATGAGAGGTTTACTGTTACTGCTTAGCGCTCTGTTACTGCTGGAGTCAACGGACGGAAACAAAGAATATCATCAACTAAGCCAACATGATGCAAACATTAGTGACAAGGCAATACAACTAGCCAATAAGAAATATGGAGCCAAACACCTTGATTTTGCCTTCATTTTAGAAGCTGTAAGTGATTTAATTCCAATTTAATAATTATACTGTAAATTCCTAATTTTACTGTAATTTGTGTTTTGATTTTGTTTTTTTGTGCTTATGCATCTGCCTTAAAGTGCTTGATAAAAAATAGTTAAACATCTACATGTATGGTTGTCATCTTTATGCTTTACCTGTCTCTTTCCCCTACTGTATATGACAGAATTATGAGAAGCGCATGTTTCATGTGATATTAAAATCCACCTCATGTGACAAGACGACACCGAGTGTCCATCGGAAAGACTGTAAAATCCAAGATATGGCAAGAGTAAGTAGCTCACTCTCACGGAAGGATCTTGATAGTCTAAATGCCTATAGGAGTCATTGTAGAATACACTTTAAAAAAATACTTAGTTTCACACTGCTCTATTGTATTTTTCTCAGCCTCAAGTTTCTTGTGTTGACTGTCGTGGAAACATGACCTGTTCACTTCTTAAAGAAAAAGAGAAGGTACATCACATATTAGTCACATATTGGGGACAAAGACCTTCATTCACCATCATGATCCAACCTTTTTTGTTGTATAAGATATTCCTGCACTAAAAGGTTTTAACTGTTCTCATTGCAGATTAAAACAACTATATCCAAATGTTTAAATCCCCCATCAGGGGGTACTCATCAGATTGGGGGAGCACATACATTGTTTGCAAAAACAGAAGAGGAACAAACTGGATGTCTGGGATGCATCTGAGAAATACAAACGATCAAAGATCTTTGCAACTTGCCATATGAATTAAACAAAAAAACTACTAATGAAATGTAACCTATAAAAATGACCTCTCAGACCAAGTTTCTTTATCTAAAATTTTATTATGAAGATTAATGTGAATTTTTTCTCAATTGTCAGTTTTTTCTCAATGTCATGATGTAATTTTGAGTGAAATATGGAAAATGCAGTAGGCTAGTCTACAATAGTACGTCCTGTGTTGAATAACGTACAAGTCAAATGAATAACTGTTTAAAACATTTCTAAATATTCTTCATAGAGACCTTGTAAAATTGTCCCCAAAGTTTCCATGAAAGAAATGTTACAAATCTTGATCTTTAGACGATTTATTGGCACCGAATTTGAGAGGCCCAGTTTAATCTTGAAAAGATCTGTAAACAGATGTCCTGCGGTGTGACGCTGTTATTTAGTTATTTCGGCTGTTTTCATTTGTGTTTTAAATCAATACAAATTATATTAAGGGACGTGAAGGTCGAATGCTAACTGTTGGCTTTGTTAAGGAATTTTCTTTAATTAAATTAATCAATTGAAAACGAAATATCCCCAACACTTCTGCCAAAGTGTGTGTACGGTATATGTAACAAAAGGGGAAACAAAACTTGACAGCTGTCTAAATATATAACCTCATGACTTGAGTAACAAGCTGAAGTAATCAAATAATCCAGATTTGCTTTTACCTAGTAACAGAAGGGTTTGCTGAATTATACATATAAAGAACTAATCATATTGTAGAAAAATGGTTTAATAAATCAGGTCACTTTTTTCATGCTCCTATTCTATAAAAACTTTTGTACACTTTTTCGAGGGGGGATTCGCCATGAAAATGGTCTGAGATCCTTCCGGCCATGATTAAAGCATATTCGAAGGCATTGTCTGGAGTCTGTCTGATTATTGTTGCGCAGCAGGCTGAACACTAGAGAACCAGAGACCTTATTCCCAAATGATAATGTTCATAAGGGTCGGAGACGGCTAGTATAGTATAAATTTGTCAAATTAAGGCAGGTGTATAGGGGAATTTCTACCACAGATTTAAAGCTATAAAATGGCATCTCAATGTCACATCTGAATAACAATGTCTGACACTTGTGTACAGTATCATAACTCCATTTAAAGCTACTTTTCAAGCTATTTTAAGTAATTCCATTTAATGCAAAAATTTTTAAACTGTTATTCTGCATTCATTCTTTTCATATATTAACTGAGAATTTACAGGGAATATTTACCCCTTTTACAAAAATGTATTTATCTCACTGCATGGGAGTTGAAATGAACTAGTGAAATCAAGAAGGTTATTAAAAGTCAAAAACAACAACAGAATTGGTTATGGCGTACCTTTTACAACCATATAACTACACCGTGTTTATTTCTATAATTAGTTGCTGTATTTACAGTTTTTCTTTATCGCAATTGTCTCAAAATGAGATTCTTTTTTCTCAAAACAATAAGGTCTCGAACAATTAGTTTCTTGTTCACATCAGATTTGGAAATCTTATTGATTTAAGCAAATTGCATGTGTTTTTGTACAATTGTACAATTGTCTACTATTTGCACAACATCTAAATGCACAGGGCTTGTTGATCAAAACTGAGTTGATTCTCAGTGAAACTGTCAAACTCTTCACAAATTCTAAACATTCTTTCATCGTGTGAGCCTTCAATATGCAAAATGATCCATTAAATTATCAAAATCTGTCAGACATGCATGTATATTCCATATACCTATGACATGGAATATGTGTAATGTCTGCTGAATTGGCAAATGGCCTGCCATTGTAATGATATAGGAATAACAGTACTACCAATCAAGTTTGGAAGCATACAGTAGGCTATATGTGCAACAAGCAACTGTGAAATTTCAGTTTTACATGTATTTCTACAAATATGTGCTGTATAAATAAAAATGTTCAGTCCCACTTTATATTAGGTGTCTTTAACTACTATGTACTAACATTTAAATGAATAAATTAACATTGTACTCATATATAAAAAAAAAAAAAAAACTTTATGTTACAGTATTACAGCTAATTAAATCTAGATTTACCAAGCCTGTCCCTAACCTTACCCGTATCCCATCTCAATAGCAGCAAACGTGTTTTTCAATACAATTTGAGCACAATAAGTACACTTTTTTTAAATGTACAAAGTATAGATAAGGACGCCTAAAAGAAAGTGTGACCAAATGTCCATTTTCTTTTTGTGTACTACAGTAATGACTTTTCCTTGTAATTGTTTATACTGCTGAAATCTGTATCGCTCAGTGTGAGAACATTCATCTAGACAAATCTGACATTCTTGTGTAGAAAACAGTCAGTGTCAACTAAAAAGTAGAAAGCACATGTAATTTGTATTTAACAAATATTTCCATGGTGAAAAAACATCTAAACATTTTGACCAGTTTGGCTCACACGATGACAAAAAGCCTTTTTATTTGTGTGGCACTAGCCAAGTTACTGACACAAAAACTAGGTTTTGAAGCATGAGTTAAATGTTTTGGGTGAGTAACTACATTTTGTAGGCATGCAATAGAGTTCTGATGTTTCAGCAAACATTTGTGACAATTGAGCTTACAGTTTAGAGAACGTTAAAACTTTGAAAAAGGTGCCAAACCAATTGAGAAAAACTGTAAATAACTATAAGTAACCATTAATATAATTTAACCACTAAAATTATAACTCTTTTACACAAGTAACAAGAACGATTCAAGTCCACTGGCCGTCAAAGTTTTTATTTATGTGTTCACTGAATAAATGATACAGAGGATCAACACTGGAGAGACTTTGGCTTTAAAGACCATTTGTTTTAGTAATGCCATGTCTTTACAAAACGTCCCAGAATACACCCTATAAACTAAATAATAAAGGCATCTGCTCAAATGTTCGTACAGTCTTTTCTTTTTTGCAGCCTTGCATTTATTGTATGGCAAACTTTAGAGAATGTAGAAAGGTATCATATTTTGAATGAAGATAAAAAGTGTGACAGAGAACATCTGTGATGCTAATGATATAACAAATGAGAAGAAACGTGGATCTTTGCAACTTATTGAACAAAATTGAAGTAGTGAAATATTAAGAGATAACAAAAATAATACCAGTGAATAATCTCATATCTGACAAAAGGTTCATAGATAGATAGATAGATAGATAGATAGATAGATAGATAGATAGATAGATAGATAGATAGATCGATAGTTTTGTTTTCTCTTTTGTTATACACAGTCATGCAAAAAAAATGCCAGGAGTCTATTTTGATCCTCTTCTCCAATTTGACAAGTAAATGCAGTTGTAAAGAATTGCTTCTTTCAACTCAGATCTGTAGCAAAAGTGAAACACTTTCTTTCTAGTAAAGCCTCAAAATTGTGATTTATGCACTAATTTCCTCTCGACTGGATTACTGTAACTCTCTGTACGTTGGCCTATCTCAATCTACACTGTCTCGGTTACAGATGGTTCAAAATTCAGCAGCCAGATTGCTAACAGGAACTATGAAAAGCTGTCTGGTCTCATTGCACTGGTTCCCTATAAAATTTAGAGTCGACTTTAAGATTCCTCTTTTTGCATACAAGGCACTGCTCAATTTATCCCCGGATTATATTTGTGATCTTATTAGGCCATACACAGCCTCTAGGTCACTGAGATCTTGTGAACAGAACAGTCCCTCGTTCATAAATCAAAAGGCGATCGAGCTTTCTCTGTATAGTCTCCCCAAAGCTTTGGAACTGTCTACCTTTGAACATCAGGGCCTCTCCATGACTGGATGCTTTTAAATCCAGATTTATTCTTACTCTCTAATGTTCAAATGATGTTGTGTATTTTGAATAGCTGGTGTTCTACGTTATGCGTGTATGTATTGTATGTATATACATTGATTTTGATACTTGATTTTTTATCTCCATGCATTTCTCTCTTTTTTTTCTTTTCTCTCTTAAATTCTGATTTATTTTTATTGTAAAACACTTTGTATCAACTACAACAGTTGTGTTAAACATGTGCTCTATAAAAAAGAAACTTGACTAATATAACACTTTCAGACACACTAAATTTGGCCCAAGTACTGGGGGACATTTAGTTTTCAAAAGCAGATGTTGATCCCTAAAGAAAAATGAATGTGATTAATTAAAAAGTCCTTAATGATAGACAGATAACGTTATAGATAGATAGATAGATAGATAGATAGATAGATAGATAGATAGATAGATAGATAGATAGATAGATAGATAGATAGATAGGTAGGTAGATAGGTAGGTAGGTAGGTAGATAGATAGATAGATAGATAGATAGATAGATAGATAGATAGATAGATAGATAGATAGATAGATAGATAGATAGATAGATAGATAGATAGATAGATAGATAGATAGATAGATAGATAGATAGATAGATAGATAGAAAAAGAAAGAAAGGTAGAAAACAATATCGAGATTTTAATTGGATGATAAAACAAATTATGATATAACTCAGAAAAAAACTTATATTATGGAAGAAAAAACTGTCCTTCTGGCAAACACGTGTTTCCGGGCTGCCTCTGTTGACTTCCGGGAACATGGCTAACACCGGGGCGGCGGACGACCACTGGCGGAGTGCAAGGGGAGTGTAGCGGAAGACTGGGCACCCTGAGGTTACCAGGCCCTGACAGCGCGGCGACATGAGATTATGAGTCTTTATCGAGATCATACAGAGAAATACGTTAGTTCCGATCAGGCAGCTTTACCTTCACCTACACTGATAATCACTGACTTTAGCTGCTGGGAAAGGAGTCGCGCATGTTGATCAAGCCATGTCCTACTGGATCGCACCAGATTCACGCACTGTATTTTTAGCCATATTTTAGTACAACTCTCAGCGTTTCGCGACACGAAGCAAAACAACCCCAGCTGCAACACGCAGATACTGTGAAATCATCGGTGTAGCAGCTCGTTAGCAGCGCTCAGCTCTGCTCTTCTTCCGGGGCCTCAGCAGATGCTCCATAAATCCAGCTTTTACAACATCATGTCAGTCCCCTTAAAACGTTTATTAAAGATCAGTTTTTGAATGCACACCGCTGTGCAACACAGTCAACCGTCGAATCGGCAATAATCTTGCCAATGCCACCGACTCCTGCGGGCAAATTCATCCTCCTGAACAGAACCTGCACATCCATCCACGCGCCATCCTCTGAGATAAACATGTAAGCCTGCTTTGAACCATCACGCGAGGTCGTATGGCAGCAATTGTAATGTTTAATCTGGTTTATAGTGGTGTATTTTTCAAGACAAATCAAGCTTTTCTGACACGAAACTATTAAAAAGCCGCAAGCGACAAAATGAATGCTAGAAGTTTAGGTCAAACATCTTGTCATTAACTTATTTACTCATCGTCATGTTGTTCCAAACCAGAATGACTTTCTATCTTCTGTGGCACAGAAGATGACGAATGAGAATGTGAGCTGTCAAGCTCCCAAAAAAGCATAATTAAAGTAGTTCATATAACTTTTTATTGTTATTGTCTGTAACCATTATTCTAGTCTTCAGTGTCAAATTATCCAGAAATCATTCTAATATGGTGCTCAAGAAACATTTCTTAATATTATTGATGTTGAAAACAATTATGTTGCTGCTCAATATTTTTGTGTGTGTGAAGAACCATGGTACATTATTTCGATTAAAAAAGCATAATTAAAGTGGTTCATATGTCTATTTTCCAATTGCTGTCTCTTTAAAGGGGACAAATGCTATGGAAATGGCATATCATAGTGACTAGTCCAACCATTGACACACCAACATGAGGACAGCAGATGCATTTAATGTCAATCTCTGTTTACAGCAGTTGAACTTATAATGAAATATTCAATATCCAATATTTCCATTAGTGCCTGTTTGATATCCATTTTTCATTGCTTTAGTATATTTGGTCCCTCTGATCCGATTATGTGAGTGATCACACAACTGTTAAAACTGTTGAAAGATTTGGGGTTGGTTAGGCTTTTTTTTCAGATGATGTTGAAAGTCTCTTATGCTCACCAAGGCTGCATATTGTTACTATTTAAAATAACTGTTTTCTATATTAATGTATTTTGTACTCCAGTCTTCAGTGTCATTTGATCCTTCAGAAATCATTTTAATATACTGATTTGGTGCTCAAGTAACTTTTCTTATTATTATTAATCTAAAGACTAATCTAAATGTATTAATCTTATGTTAACTAAAGTTCCATTTAACCGTTTTTACTTGAGATAGACATTTTTTGTAACATTATAAATGTCTTTAATACCTTTGATTTATTTAATGCATCCTTGGTGAATGAAAGTATTAATTTCTTTTTTTAAATAACCTTACTGACCCCAAGCTTTGGTGTACATCCAAGTCTAGATTCACATTTTATCTGTTTTTAGAGTTTTGTATCTGGATCAACCTCATAATCATAATAATTGTATTGTTGTGTAATGAAAATTCAAAAACGTATATCTTAATTAATAAATGAGGTCTGATTCAGATGTGAGGATGGGATGTCCTCTCCTCCTCTCAGCCCCTGAAGGAAAGGACACATCAGTCTGACAATTCTCAAGTTACCATCTATTTCTGGAGCTGCTCCTGCCTGCTTCATTGGTGTGGAGATGAGTTTCCATAAGTGCTGAACCATAATTTTGCATTTTACTGTGGTTCAGCACTAAAATCTGCTGTATGCAGATTGAAAAAATCATTTGGACTATGAAGTGTTCTAAATAAAGGATATGCTTTCTATTTGCAGGAGTGTTCTCTTGAACTTCACATTTGGACCACCCTATATACCATGCTGGGGCTGCCTGTTCGCTTTGGCCTTTTAACCTGCAGGAGATTCTCCTCGCCCCACCAGCCTTCTCGCCTACTGAGTCTAGGTGCTCTTACTAGTATGTACACCACACGCATGTACAGCGGTGGTGGGGGCAAGCCAGGTCGGCGCATCAGCCTGATGGGAGGAGGGCCGCCCCTGCTGGAGAACCACCATCATCCACTCCCTCCACATCACCCTCATGTCCATCATCCTCAGAGCTACCCACCCGTTTATCAAGCCCGTCTAGATGCCCACCGGCCCCATTACCAGACCCACCAGCACTACCACACCCACCCTCAAGTCGCCCACCTCCCCCCTCCGCACTACCAGCCTCATGCACATTTGCACCACGGCAAGAAGAAGACCTGGAACTTCATCCATGAGAAGATGAGCTACGACACCTTCTTCACCATGAAGCGACTGATCGATCGCTCGCGCACCGTGGATGAAGTCCTCCGCTGGGTCACGCAGAATCCAGGCAAGATCTCGCACAATCATTACCCCATTGCCCTACAGAAGATCGGTCAGCTCCTGGTACTGCTGCAGGCTGGAGGTCAGGCGGGTGGTGGTGGAGGAGCGGGCGAAGGAGCCTTGCCAGCGACCTCTGTTGGAGGTTCAGGGGAGAACGCTATACGACACATTCTGGATAATCAGGACTTTCAGACTCTCTGTGATGCCATTGTCAATGACTGCTCCAAGTTTGACAACTTCAGCATTGTTAACTGCCTTTATGCTGTAGCTGCTCTTGGTGAGTCCTTCACTTTCAGTTCAATGACAATGTAGTCAGATTACATCGACGGAAACTTTTAGCATTTTATTTTTTGCACTATTATTAGTTTATTAATTAAAAACGCACATTTTTGACATTGTCCATGTGACCTCAATCCTTAAAAGGTCAGATTTCCTTACTTCCAATTAGCAGAGTTTGTCCCTGACATATCAGGGAAGGTGATTTACAGGGCTTGAAATGTCAGTTACTTTCTACAATTGTATAATTTTTCATGACAAGTCATGGAGCTTTCTATAATAAATATTACGTTTTATTTAAAAAGCAGTTATGCTCAGTGCAAAAATTGTTCTAAAATATTAGGAAAGTATGTTATTATAATAATCATTCAAGAAAAGAAAAAGAGAAAAGCCTGTACACAATACTCAAAAATATATTTAAGAGAAAAGAAGGTGCAAAAAGTGCTTAGTGGCACAAAATACAATTTCTGTGCCAGCTCAAGTGAATGCTGTTATTAAAGCAAAAGGACATGGAAATACTAAGTACATTATTTTTATGTTTTTTTTTTAATTGTTTAACACAAATCAATAGAACAGTGACCACGGATCACAGTACATTCCAACATAAACCATAGATACATGCATCATCAACAAACAACAACAAAAAATTCATGTTGACCTGCAAAGGTTTTGCCAAAAGATAAGTGAAATCCTGGGACCTATATACTTCATGTCTAAAATGTATCCATTTTCCCTTTTGACCAGTAAGTAATATTTTACAGTGAAAGAAAATCAAATATCACATCACTTTATGCCACTCCGACACTGTTGGCAGTTTATCAAAGGTCCATTTAAGAAAAATGCTCTTACACATTACTGGTGTGCATCTTGAGACAAAACAATGGCACTGATATATTTTAAGATATGTCAGTGCAAGTTACTTTCAGTTAAAACAGCTCAAATATGCTTTTAGTCTGGGCCTAGGCTTAAGCCTTGTCTGTGAAACTGGGGGTTAATCTCCTACAAATCTGTACCCAATAGGCTTTAATATGTATGCATTTCCAAGTGTTTGAATGATAACAACATCTCTTTTTATCAAACAGATCCTTTATAGTGGTTATAGCAACGTCTCTCTACAACATGAAACCATTATCCATTATTCCAGGCTGAAAATCAAAATGTCATTGTATTGGAGTAATAGGTGACAGAGTTTTGGCTTTTCCTTCCCAACTCCTGATTAACTTCCACACATGCAGTGTGTTACTAACAATCCTGTTCTGACCAGATATATTTTAACGTCTAAAACAAAAGGAAGACAGGCCAATGTGATTGGTAAACCATTGCCTAAGTTGAGTGATTCAATGTCCAACCAAACTGAATCTTGATCATCTTCACCCATTCAAAAGTATGCTGAAACTGTGATATCTGGAATCACAAGACATCCTTTATTTCTGGGAAGTTGCATCTTAGTCAATTTTAGTCTTTGTTGCTTCGGTTCCAAATAAAAGAGCTGAACCAGCCATTACTACGTTTAATTATAGTGCACTTTAGAAGAAATGGGATCATGTGAAATAAGTACAAGAAACGAGGCAATACTATCATCTTTATCAAAGCAATCCTTCCTAACATAGACAATAGCAGGGGAGTGCATCTATCCGAATCCTCATGCATAGTTCTATACATTTACTGTAATTTTATATCCTGAAACTTTACTAAACTGTTCAATAATTTCCATAATCACTGGAATATACTTCTCCGGTTGAGTAACAAACAAAAGGATGTCGTCTGCATACAAAGCGATTTTATGTAGTCCTTTATACAAGTATCTATCCAGTGTAAAATTTTGTTAATTAGAATACACACTCCTCTATAATTTAAAGTAAAAGATGCAAAAAATACATGGCACAACAAAGTCTCTCTGGAGCTTCATTTGAAGCAGAGCTTTATTAACCTTTTTATTCTTCAAAAAGGAAATAACTTTTTTTCCAATTAATTGGATTATACATGCCCCGTACGTTCCATCCACAATCAAATTTTTAACGTTTATTGGTCCCTTTCTGTTGAAACATTTCGGTTTCATTTTCAAATAGTTTTATGTCAGCTGAAAAAAATATATCATTTAAATTATTGAAATAAATTATAAAATATTTGAAAAAGCAATATTAATTATTTATTTAAAGAAAAGAAAAAAAACCTACACAATATTCATATAAAAAATCTTTAAGAATATTTATTAAAAGGTTCAAAAAGTGCTCAGTTCCAGTGCAAAATATGTTTCCCATGCCAGCTAAAGTGTATGCTGTTATTTAAGCAAATGTGCTTAGAAAATTGTTATAAAAGTAGAAAAATGTTGTTTAAAATAGTTTTAGGTGAAATACAGCATCTGACACTCCTGTCACTGCTTGATGTGTCATTCAGCCACCAAGTTACAGTATATTTTCTATATCTCTAGTTTCTAGAACTTGACTTTTAATCGTGTGTGCTCTCCATCTCATTTAGGGCTGCCCAGTGACTCTCAGATTGTGCAGGTGCTGGAGGAAGAGTCCCAGGCGCGTCTGTCCCAGTTCAACCAAAAGGACATCTCCATGGTTTTCAGCAGCAGCATGAAGCTGCATCCGTCCAGCCAGCATCCGTTGATCGAGTCGTGTCTCGCTGGGCTAGAGAAGAACATCGAGCGGGAACGCCACCCCCAGACGCTCTTCCTCCTGCTCTCCTACTACCGCACTAAATGGAGAGCGCTGCGGGCGGCGGATGGAGCCTCCCCGGAGCTGCTGGTGGTGAACCGGAAGATCCTGCGGCTGGTGAAGCACACGCTGGCCAGCGTTAGCAGCGTCAGGGACCATGAGATGGCTCTGCTGGATGAGATGCTGTCAGCATGTGCCAGGGAGGCTAGCAACAAGAGCCTCGAGCTTATCTTCAGCTCTCACCTCTTCTACCAGAACAGGCAGGAGAAGTTTGTGAGCAGTCTTGCAGGTGAGTTAATGACACATTTGTCTTCATAAGGTTAGCCTGTCATTTTTTTTTACTAATTCTCTCTGAGCCCTGTAATTTATATATACGCTACCTTTCAAAAGGTCAGGGTCGGTTTTTGAAAGAGTTTAATTCACCAACTATGCTTTTATTTGATCAAAAAATACAGTAAAAACAGTAATATTGTGAAATATTATTACAATTCAAAATAACTGTCAAAAAATCTATCTGTGTGTGTGTGTGTGTGTGTGTGTATGCTTTATATGCTTTATACACACACACACACACACACACACATATATATATATATATATATATATATATATCTGTGTGTGTGTATAAAGCATATTTTCATATAATATATATTTATATATTTCATCTATTACATCAGTATATTTTTCAGCATATTTCTGAAATGTTTTCTATGTATTACATGAGCAATTTCTTTAAGCATAATAGGTGTGCGATGTGTGAAAAGTGATGTATTTAAAAAATCCATCATAAAATGCTTTTAGAAGCCAAAAGATAGACTGTCGTGGTAAACAGAAATTTCTGTTAATAATCTTTTATTATTTAAAATTTGTAATTGTGCCCAAGTCGAAATCTAATGGTGATCTTCCAGCAGGGGCCAAACATTGACCGCTTGATATTTATAATGATAAAATGTTTGCTAAAATTATGCTAGAAATTTCCTGTTGCCAAGAACTGAATGAGGCTAACTTTAAATCCTTTTTTGTCTTTTTAGAGGAGTTGCCTAAAAAGGTTGATAGCATCACGCCTTACACCATGGCCCTCATTGCCAAGTACATCGCTCGCCATCGTCTCAGAGAAACACGCTTGCTAGACACTATCGCTGACTTCTTGGTCAAGAAGGGTGAATACCTGGACAGCAAGGTTAGGCAAATTGACTGGTTTCAGTACTAAAGGGTTGTTTATGTATTTAATAAATAATAAAATAAAATGATAACTGGCTTCCTTTTCTGTGTTATGTAATTGTGTTTAAACCAGTCTATTGTATTTAAGATTTACTCTTTCAATGTTTCATCTTGTCTAGGTGATCCAGAAGCTTGTTTTCCCATTCAGTCGTATGAGTTATCGGCCAGCTAATGAGGCTCAGTTTTTTTCCAAGCTGGAGATGGTGCTTGAACTAAAGGCTCTGAGCTCTCCATTGGCAACTGTAAACATCCTCATGTCCTTGTTCCAGCTGGGACATTTTCCTGGGCTTGTTCTTCACCGTGTCTTTTCTCCATCGTTCATCAGCAATGTCACCAGTGAGTTGGAGTTTGTCATTACTGAATGCGTGTTTTGAAAGCAAGCTAACTGGCATGTTTGTTGAGTGCTAAGAAGACCAGCACTTCTCTCTTGAGAAGATAAAATAGTCAGTCCTTATGTACTCAGATGGTTAATGGCTTCATGTTTGTTTTTTAATGTTTAATGTTTTATTTATAATATCCTAGGCACCCATAAGTAAACACTGAAATTGCTTTGGAGCAGGAAACACTCATGCAAACACATCATAGGGAACATATATCAATGGTGACCTCTGCTGGTGGATTTATTTCTTTAAAAACATTAAAAATGAATTCCACAAAGGATGAAGAAATGTCTAGAAATCTAGAATAAATGTCTAGAAATTAAATGAGCATAATTAAAATTTTGTGCAATTAAATTTCATGTGAAAATAAAGAACATTCTAAAATTATTTTCATGTAAAAATAAACAAGTCTTTGTTCTGTAAATTAAAAATTATAAATTAAATGACTTTTTTTTTTTAAAGCATTTATGCATCATGGCAGTATTTGCTGCACTGAATTTAATTGATACACTACTAATCAAAAGTTTAAAATAACTTTTTTTTCTGTTTTAATATATTTTAAAATGTAATTTATTACTGTGATGGAAAAGCTGAATTTTCAGCATCATTACTCCAGTCTTCAGTGTCACGTCCCGTGATCCTTCAGAAATCATTCTAATGTTAATTGGGTGCTCAAGAAACATTTATTATTATGTGTTATTATTATGTTTGTGTAGACCCTGATTTTTTTTTTCATGACTCTTTGATTAATAGGAATTATTAATGATTATTAATAGGAATTCATTTTTTTTAATTAATTTCAATTGATTTTTTTTATTATTGTGGTTAGTGAAATATCACCCAGACATGTTTTTGTCGAGTGGAGAAGACAGTTATTTCTTTCCCCTCTGCAGGAAAGTTTGAGCTTAATTCTGTTCCATCTTTTTCCATGTAGACAGCCCGTACGCCCTAATCGTACGTCGGTACCTTTCACTACTGGATGCAGCCGTAGAGCTGGAATACAGGGACTACACTGGACCTCGCCTTCAGGACACCCACAAAGTGCTCATGTTTGACCACGCTTTAACTGCAGATGAGGTGAACCGCAAATACAGGTAAGTGACTTTAGAAGTCTGCCAGTATCCTGAAATAGAGTAGTGGCACAAATTTGTCCAGGTTACAGTGAATATTTGTGTTTCAGTTATAAAGGTCTGGTTGCAGAGGCACTCCGGCAGCTTGTTGGCGAGCACGGCTACAAACAAGATGAAGTTCTCGCACCAGGATATTACACCGGTGAATTTCTTTTTGCAATCCAGACATTTGTTGGGTTTTGATGAATTTATTTTGTTCCTCTTTTGCCTCTTTAGGGGCTTTCGCACCAAAGGAACCTTTTCATAGTTCCTAGAACTATTGCTGTAAGTACCTGCTTTTTGGCGTGTTCGCACCGCAGGAACTGGGAACGATTTTTAGTTCTAGGAACGCCTGGGGGAACTAAATTTGCTCCTACTTCAGAGTAAAGTCTAACCCAGCACAATAGGAACTATCAGTGATGTAAGTGTACGCTGATTGGCAGAACGCACCAAACATCAGCACTCGCCATTTAATAAAAAAAGCTGTGTACACAGTCACATACAGTTTATAGCCTATATATTTACTCCACAAACTTACTCTTTGAACATGGAAAACTGTGATAGATGGACCTCTCAACCTTTACTCTAAGGAGAAAATCCAACGTGACTTGGAGGGGACCAAGCCAAACATGATTATGTATTTCTGCTCAGCTAGCGATATTGGGCATCAACCACACGGTAAACGTGTACTGTTTACTTTCTTTGTATAACAGTTCTCTCTAATAACGTATCAGACAGGAGGACTGTTGTAAACTAATGAAGATGGAGATTGGGAGCGCTGTGTGCTCCGGCTCTGGCGTTCTCAGTGCCTTCAAAATAAGTCACAACAACAAGAGCGGCTTGCATCACTTCAGAGTCCTAGTGGCGGTGCGAATGCTACCAGGAAAATGGCCCTAGATCATTTAGATCTCGAGGAACCGCCCTGGTGGCTAGTTCCTATAACTAAGTTCCTATAACTACCCAGTGCAAAAGCCCCTTTTGTCACTTGGAATGAAACCATCTGCTAAATGCATAAATGTAAATTTGTGCCACAAACCTCAAATTCTTTGAGTGCATTTTCATATGAAATTGATGTGCAGTTTTCTCTTACGGCAGATTTCCTGCTGTGGATCGACAGCACAGGCCGCGTCCTCCCCATCAGAACAGGCACACCAGCAGCATCATTAGCAGCAGGTTCAACCCCGTGTGTAGTACTGAACCTTAAATCTCCAGATGGTTCCGGTTCTGTCGCGGCCCTCACTACCGACTTCCATAAGTTCTCCCCCTTTGCCCCGTCACTGGAGGAAGGGGCTGACAAACGAGCTGGAGAGGAGTCTGCCTTCCTCTCCGCTCACATGCGTCCTCCAGCAGCAGCAGCAGCAGGATCTCAGAGGGTCGGCCCTAATGGAACGGTCTCGCTGGACTACAACCCATATTACACCTCTTCAGATTATTACTCGACTCTAGCCAAGGAACACTCTCTGGAGAGTCAGGACAGCTCCACCCTCAGTAGCCCCTCAGACTGCCTGACCCAGACAGGACCCTCCGTTCCAGGGACAGTTGCACCGCAAGACTCCCTGTTCCAGTTCTCCATTGGAAAAATCCTGGAGGATGAGGGGGGTGCTGCGACAGGAGCGAGCACAGTGCCGGACTGTGAGATCACTACGTTTTACGAAAGTGTGTCGTACCCAGAGGGTGGCGAGAGTGATGTAGTGGCCGGTTCTCCACTGCAGCTTCACAACCCTGACAACCCTGAAGCTGACCGGACCACAGGAGAGCAGGTGAAGAGGTCAGTCCTTCCTGAATCATTCAAACTATGTGTCATCTGGGCTTGAATGTCTTGCTCATCATCTTTAACACATTCTTTCTGTCCTTCCTCATATGCAGGGTTATTATGTCTGTAAATGATAAATGGCATTATTGCCATAATTCTGACGTGCTGGTGGGATCCAGGGCCATGAGAGATCGTCACCTGCACTTACTGGGCTACGTTATACTACAGGTGAACACCGAACAATTTAGATTTATTCTGTTATTAATTACTCTGGCAGGCTTAAGATATCATGCTATGTTATGCTGTCTAGTTTATTTAAAACAGTAGAGATTAATTAAAATGTTCTTAATTTTAATAGCAGTATATATATTCTATTCAGCGAGGAAGCATTACATTGGTCAAAAAGTGGCAGTAAAGACATTAATGTAACAGAAGAATTATATGACTAATAAATGCTGTTTTTTTTAAAACTTTCTATTCATCAATGAATCCTAAAAAAGTTAATGGTTTCCACAAAAAATATGAAGCTGCACAACCATTGTCAACGTTGATAATAATAAGAAATGTTTCTTGAGCACCAAATCGTAGCATATTAGAATGATTTCTGAAAGATCATGTGACACTGAAGACTGGAGTAATGGCTACTGAAAATTCAGCTTTGCCATGACAGGAATGAATTACATTTTAAAATATATTCAAATAGAAAACAGTTCTTTTAAATGGTAACAATACTTCACAATATTACTGTTTTTACTGTACTTTTGATCAAATAAATGGAGCTTAGTGTGCTTGTTATATTATAAAACTTTCTAAAAAGGCTATAACTGTTAGTCCTATTAAATTTATCATGTAAAAAATGAAAACAAATACCGAAACTTTGTATAGTGTAAAGGTACCATGGTGCAGTTAAGGTATCACATGCTAGTTCTACTAGTATTGAACAGTAAACTATTGTATTTACATGGCATACCAATGTACTGGAAAAAAAAAATACCATGGTATTAGCAAATATTGTCATCTCACGGTTCTACCTTACTAATGCATGCAGATTTTCTCTGTCTTTTTTTATTGTAGTTGCCCTATCTGGAGTTGGAGAAGCTGAATGGGATTGAGGAAGTGAAGCAGTACCTACACAAAAAGCTCCTGGAGGTTATTTTATGACGACATAAACGAAGCGAGTGTGTGTGTTCATGTGCTTCAGTGAGCATGTGCGACTTCTGCATTTTCAAGAGGTTTTGTTGTTTTCAGAAAGACTATGGTGTATGTATGTGTCTGTGTGTGTATGTGAGCGTCTGTATGTGCGTTTGTACACACAGGATGTGAACAGTCCTTGTTTTCAGGACAAACCATCAGTTGACACAAGGAATCTGGGTGGGTGTTATTGTCATTCTTTAATTATTCAGAGGTCTCCTCTGGGCAAAAATCAAAAAGGTTAATGTAGTAAGTCTAACTGTGCCTGGAAAACAGCTTATTCAACATCATCAAGCATACAGTACTTCCCTCAGTGAGTGATTAAGGACCATTTCATTCTCAATGAACAATATATTCAGCAACACTTCTGAAATGTTTTATATTTTGTCCAGAGTGAGTGTTTTTGGTATATATTCGGGGGTGAGAGGAGCAGGTGGTTAATTATATGTTCCCCAGCATTTTATTTTTTGTTTTTGATGGTGTTCCCACATCCACTTTCATGTCCTCACTGTTATTTTGGTGTGTTTAGGTGCAGGCTTGAGAGTAGGCAATAATTTTGTCTTTTGGGGCAAGTATGAGGAGCATAATATATTTTATGGATGCGGACACAAATGTGCAGAGGTCTGGTGATGAGCCACAGATATTTGTATTTCAGATACTGCCACCACAGCCACTGCTGCTCTTTGGTTTTAAACCTAAAATAATTGAGGGTTTGGGGAAAAATATGGACATATATATTAATAAATAAGTGGAGTTGTTGATTGAAAGTCTTATGATGTGAACTGTATGGAGTTACAGAATAGAAATGTTGGAATGTACAAGAATTATTATATGCAGGAATGGGTTATGTTTATATATTTTATTTTTCTCAAAATGAATGATGCTTTGGTATCATGTGAGGGGGAAAAGCAATTCACAAAGTTGACTGCAGGATAGTTATTAAATTATGTTTTCATCTCCCATGTGGAGAATGTTGCATTTTTAGATTGTGCCTTTAGCATATGGATCTGTCCTCATTGTAATCTTCAGATAAATTCTAAACAAAACGTTTAAAGAAAGTCTTATGAATAGACAAGTCAAATTTAGCAGCAATTTAAAAAATATATGTTAATTTAATACTTGAAAAGAATGTAATCCATGGCATCTAGTTGGATTTGTCACATACATTTTTTTATCCCCGTGACAGGCAACATTCAAGTGTAATATTTAAGTATTATCATAATCTATTTTGCTAAGTACAAAATAAATTTTGCATAGTTTGTTTTAACTAAAGCCATGAAGGTTTGTTCAATCAAGGCCTTGCTTGCCTCTACATGAATATGAAACCTATAAAGATCCTAAAGTCAGATCTTATTAATATGGAAGATGTATTCTGTGCGAGTCAACCATGTACCACTTTATCTGTGTACATTTGCTTTGCTCTTTCTTTAGAGGGAAAGATAATTTATTATGGAAAGTGAATTTAAGTGGACTGTGTGAGTGAATGTCTGTGTCTGGTAGCAGGTGGGGAAATGGATTGAAATGTCTGTTTATATATACATATTAAAATGTCTATATAAAGAATATTATTAAAAATGAAAAAGCAGATAACTGTCTTGAATTTTAATTTTTTTCAAACTAGGAAGAAAGTCTCCCCTGCTTATATCTAGTTGGAACTGATATGCAGTGTTATTTTAGTATAATTTATAGACTCTTATAGTATTTATTAACATTTTAAATTGGCTTTTTTTAAAAATAGTTTTAGTTTTGTGCTTTTTTAAAATTTGTATCTTTTTTTTTATTTGTAAAATTTACTTCAGTTTTATTTTTAATATTTGTACTGCTTTAACTTAAAGCCACCAGGAAATAAAAAAATTATCTTATTTTTTATAGAATATTGCATTATTATAAATTATGAACTCAGAAGTTGTTCAATATTTATTAATATTTCAGCTTCTTTTCAATTATCACTGCTGATATGTCATATTAATGTTCCCATCAAAAGTTGAATATGTAATTATGAAATTTAATATTGGCTTAAAAGGGTATTCTGCAATCATCTTCAACATAATGGATTCTGCCTGTTTAACAGTCTGATCAGATGGTAGTGGCAGCTCGAGTTTGTCATTTACTGTCTGACACATTAAGCATCTGTGTGTGAAAGGACAGACAGTAAAGACAACATCTCAGATTATCTAGTTGCAAAATACATGCACCACGTGGTAACTAAAGAGCAGTGAATGTTCATTTGAATGTAACTCAGAAGCAATATTGGCACAGGCAGCACACTTGACAGGTAAAGTGTTGAGTTCTAAGAATTTTTGACTATATTATTACTTGTAGGATTTGTGTCAAATCAATAAACCTTTATTTTGAAGTGAGATTTTTTTAACCGGAAGTCGTATTTGTGGCATCGTTCTAGCCTGTCAGTGATCAGGAAGCGCAGACGTTAAACGGTGTGAATCATGGACCATCATACGATGTGATATGTCAACGGTAAGTCATTTTGGAGCCTCATAGAGGTTTTTTACAAAGTTTTAACTCTACTAATTTCGAGGACACGTTCAATTGAGGCGTAACAGCTGTCTTGAGCGCGTGTTAGCTGCTCTCGAGCTTGTTTCGTGGCTGTAGCGGTGCGCGAGCGCTCACCTGCCTGCACGTTCACAGACAGATCTTCACTAATAAATACACACCCGATGCTCTTGACCCCTAAACTCGTGGCTTTAGAAAAGATGAGAGTTGGACGTTTTTTGTAAAAAAAACAAAAAAACAGTTAACTTCAACTTTTTCTGTAGGTAATGGCTACGTGGCTGTTGACATTTAGACTGTTCGTTTCCTGTTCTTATTCGTACATTTACATTGTTTCATGATTTAGACGCGTAAATGCACCTGCTGTTCATGTCATCACACCTGTTTATTTAAATATATTTAATTATATCCCTTTTAAAAGGTATTGCCTTTAAAGCGATAGTTCACCTCAAAATAAAAAGTCTGTCATCATTTAACGTTACTCGCCCTCATGTCTCGCCGAATGGCTTTATTTCTATTTTCGCTGAATGACAGCCTCTCTTCACGGTCATTGTATGTAAAAAGATGCTAGGAAAGTGAAAAGACTGAGGTTGTTAGCCCCTGATATTCTGTCTACTTTCTCCTCTTTTGTTCTATCGGTAAAAGGAAGTCATAGATGTTTTAAATATATTCTGAGAAACATATTTGACCCTTTTTGCTTTTGAGAAATGTGCTGTTCAGTGGACTTCATGCATAATGAGAGGAGCTGTCTGTCATCAGGAGGCATGAGATATGGCCTGAAACTTGCTGACAGCCACAGTTAAAGAGTGGGGAAATATCTGGTTTACTGAAGGGACCACTTCACTGCTTTTGTGTTCAAAGGTTGCGGCTTATGCTTGTAACAGTTTAAAGGACTGTACACAGAGATTATTACTGCTTAAACAGTCATGCTCTGGGAAAACATCAACTTTATAGACCAGTTTATTAGCTTAAAATGATCTTTAGTTTTTAATGCAAGACAAAAAGATTTTGGCCTTTCATAACATGTCCTCTTTCAGATTAGTGGAAAGAAAACTTCCAAAATACACATTTAAGTGTTTACTTTAGTACACTTTAGCTATTTGCGTTTCTGGATTTCAATTGCACTACATATCTGTAAAGGCCATTTTCTCAAAATTAGTTTCCCCCCCTCATACGCTGAGCCAGAAATCTTTACTTCAGTATGCCAACAAAATGAAAGAAGAATTTTGAATCTGGCTTTGTCCAATGTTCAGATTTTTTTGTTTTTCGTACTTACTTGATTATTTAAACACAACCTTTCAGAAAACGTCTTATACAAAACAGTTGTCTTATTGTACTTCAATTTGGGAAATATGGTGATATCTATTGGTTAAAATTTGTATCCTATTTACCTGTTGTCTTGCCTTAATTAAAGATGATCTCAATCTTTTATTGCTCTAGAAACTGCACCCATCTGTGATCATTGGTTCAAATTTGGCTCATTTGAAAAATACCTAACTCATGATTTCTTGATTTGGGTACAGTAATATAAAGACTCCTCTTGAGCCTTGAGGGGATTTTTTTCCTGGTATTATGGGTAAAATAAACACTTATTGAATATTAATGGGGTACGAATTTGTGTAAAAAAAAACACTATTTAGATTTAATTTCAGCTAACGGTTTTTCGATAATTTTTGGCATTTCATATTTTATAATAACTACTATATGATGCTGCTATTAGTTACTGAATGATGTACATCTTGAAGGTCACATTCATATTTCACAAATAAATCTTTGTAACCATTGTAACCTAAAGGTGCAGTAAGCCATATCTGAGAATCATCGTTGAACACAGGTTAATATTTGAAATCAACCCAAACAAACACACCCCTCCCTTCATTGCTCCGCCCCCACAAACACGCAATGCAAGAGTTGATGTCTCTTTATCATAGCAGAAGCAAAACAAAATAAAGCTTAGCGAAAAATAAAGCGAAGGAATGACAAGGAACCGTACACGAATATATTAAAGCAAGAGTTTGTTAGTCGCCAGCAGCACACACACATAAAACCAATGTTACTCACTTATGGAGCAGAAACAAAGCAACCTCAGCGCCCGATTTCAGGCCTTCCCGCTTGGGTCTCTCCAGCGCTGGAAATTACTGTGGGTCCTAAAGCTCATAACCCTTCTTTTTACAGTGATATTCCTTTGAACTTTTCTCTTTTGTAATGTCTCTCTTTCTACAGTCTTTCTTCAAATCTCCCTCTTGTGCTCTCTCTCTCCTCCCCCAGTGTATACGCCCCTTACTGCTGATTGGCTACAAGTGTGTTGTGGTGCTCTGTCCAATCCACTTTCAACAGTGTTTTTCAGAAATTGATTACTGCACCTTAAAGCAGATAATATGAGCGTGAGGGCTAAATCTTAGTAAATGTAAAATATTGTGGAGTCAAATCTAAAGCTGTTAAATGCTGAAAGGCCATGACTAATGGCGCTTTTCCACTGCATGGTACGGCTCGGCTCACTTTGTGGCACTTTTCCACTGTATGGTACGCCTCGCTTCAAATGGTACCACCTCTGTTGAGGTTCCAAGCGTATCGTACCGATACTAAAATGTGATGTGAAAACACTACAGATCACTGATTGGTCAGAGAGAATCGTCACTACCTGCGTCATTGGATTTGCAATGCGAGACACCAAAACCCGCTAGATTTAAAAAGTCAGCAACAGCCACCGCAGTATTATTGGTTCGCAATATTTTTATAAACGACTTGATTGAAAAAAAAAAAAAAAACTTGTAAAAAGAAATGGTTGAATCGTGGTTACTGGTCAGTAGACGAGGTGCAGACGTTCCTCTCATTGGTAGCCGAGGAGCGGAAGCTGGATGTTGCGACCGACCAGGAATGAAAAAGTTTTTCAGCAACTTTAACGAGCAGTCTACAATCCCACCCACTTTGAAGCGGTTCTAAACTGCAGTGGAGAAGCAAAGCGAGCCGAGCCGAATTGTACCACGAAGTGGAAAAGCAAAGCGAGCCGAGTCGTATCATGCAGTGGATAAGCACCATAATTCTTCCAACAAGGGTCAGGTTTGATCTGTATAGACCACAGGTGGAACTTTCTTTAAATTGGTCATTTTTATAAGAAAACTGGAAATTTGTTTTTGTGTCTCAACCCCAAAACAACAGAAAGGTTAAAATCTTTGCATCATCATGTCTTATTAATATGATCAGGGTTCCCACACAGTCATGAAAAACCTGCAAATATCTGTGAATTTTAAATGTCTTTTCCTGAAATAGTCAGAAAACAGTTTATTGAATTTCTTCTCTTCTGAGAAAATGTATTCTCTTGGTACCCTTAAAAAGTGTTTTAATCAAGTTACTCGAAATGTAGTTTTAGAAATTATGGGAAAAATTGTTAAATAAAGTTTTCACCATGAAAATAGCCAGAGAAACTGTCATGGCATTAAACAAACAAAATGAGGCAGATCTTTCAAAGTTATTACTTTTTATAGTGAACATTGATTGTTCTAGTATTGCTTCAAAAAGTGCTTGTCCAGTAATAAGTATAATTGTAAATCTAGTCATATAAATGGAAATATGCCTGCGCAATCTCTGTGATTATAGTGTGTGATTAAAAATATTGATAAATGATTTTAAAAAAGCCTTATCCAGTAATGACTGGAAAGGTCAGGACTCAGGATATTTACTGAAAACTGTGGGAACCCTGAATGATGTGTAATGCAGACCTTCCATTTGATTAGAAAAATAATGATCTGGCATGAATGTGATCAGTAATTGTGAACATGTGCTGTAGGTGCCTAGTCTGAAGTTGCCTTAGTCCAGGACACAGCAGACCAGGATGGCTCTAATAGAGGGGGTGGGTGATGAGGTCACCCTGCTCTTTGGAGTGGTGTTCCTGGTGCTCGTCCTGGTTCTGGCCTGGGCTTCCACTCACACTGTTGAACCCCCTGAACACCTCCTCCCACCCAGCACAGGGACCTCCCCCTCCACAGAGACTGACAGCCAGGAGCCGCTCCCCTCGGGTAACACGGACTCGTCGCCCAGCGGTGTCAGGGAGAATGATAAGAGTGAGCCTGGAACAGAAGCAGGAGCGGTGGGACAGTCCTCGGATGATAGTAGGGCTGGAGGAGGTGAGGGAGGCCTCTTGGAGGAAGCAGGGATTGAGAGGGATGGGTTGAGACATCGAGAATCAGCGGGTCCCTCGACTCAACCTCCAGCCAGCGCCCCAAGTGCCACACAGCCTTCGGCCGAAGAAGCACCGAATGACGCCCAAAGGAACATGGTGCTCAGGTTGAAGTTCTTGAATGATACAGAGAGGACAGCGCAAGTGAATCTTCAAGACACGATTGGTTACATTAAACGGTAAGCAACTGAATACTCAACCTAAAAGAAGTTTGGTATCAAATGTTTGTTCTATTTAAGATAAGACACTCAAGGCAGCATACAGATTGCAGCAGATGGAAACAATTAGCCTATTTAGGTTAAAATGGTTTAAAAACAGTTCAAATTGAGCTATATCAATTTTTAAAAATGGCTAAATAACAACACCCCACTGAATTAAATTAAATATTTAACTTTTATATATATTTATATTTAAAAAGATTAAATTAAATTAATACATTTAAGTAATTTTTAAATGATTTATAGTTTTTTGTGTGTGTTTTTTTTAAAGATAGGGGCTAAGTTTCTAGTCTGTAAATTTCTTTGATTTATTTTGTATTTTTATTCTATGTCCTTAAAGGGATAGTCCACCCAACAATCATTATCTACTCTATCTTGTCATTTCAAGCCTGTATGCTTTTCTTTTTTCTGCTGAACACAAAAGAAGATACTTGGAAGAATGTTGATGACCAAACAGTTTCAGTACCCATTAACTTCTATTGTATTTTTTGTCCAATGAAAGTCAACAAAACTGTTTACACATTCTTCAAAATATCTTATTTTGGCTTCCACAGAAAAAGGAAGTCTTATAAGTTTGGAACAACATGAGGGTGAGTAAGTGAAGACAGAATTACAAATTTGGGGTGTACAATCTCTTTAAATATCTGTGAAAAGTTCACAATTTTCTTTTAAAGTTCTCTGTCCTGTTTGGTACAGTACCTCAATTCAAATTCAAAACTTCGATTGGATTTTAACAGGTGTTCTCAATTCAGTACTAAATGCTTCTGCTTCTGTTTGTCTTCTGTTTTCACATTTAAAACAAGATGGTAGATGTATACTGTAGTAACATATTCTTGGTGTTTATTTGATTTTTGCATATGGATTGTATCCTTGGCTACCTGCTAATTGTCATCAGGCACCATATACATTTTTGTCAGTCAATAAGAAAGTTTCTGCCAAGAAAATTTCAGCAAAAACAGCCCACACACAGTTACCGGCCAGAGACCTTTTGTTCCAACGCCACTTCTCTTTCCTATGCAGTGTGTAGCACCATTCTTTCAGTCAGAAGAGTGAACCAAAAAACAGACCTCATGAGACACAATTATCCATTCTTACAAGCAGTAACCATTCTATTAAAATCAGGCAGAATGGTCTTTCAACGTCTTCTGGAAACATGAGGCATTGAGTGTGTGGGAGTTCACATCATGTTTGCAGTAGGTGAATGCACGCTTTTAAGAGGTCAGATTGGAGAGTTTCAGTTTTGAAAAGTTATTCATTGGGAAGGCAGCTTGTGTGTTTGCAAGGAAAATCGCTGCACAATCCTCTACATTTGTTGTGGAGTTTTTCTTCTGTTTTAAATGGAATTTAAACATTGCTGAGCAGCTTTACAAAATATCTACATTCTCTGCAAACGATAGTATTTAAAACAGTATTTCATTCAGTTTTTTTGTTTTTAAATTCTTCAGTTATTCCAAACTACCAAAGAATGTTCCATTAAAATAGTTTAAATGCATCAGCACAGCATTTTTAGATGACAAATCAAATTTATTTTGTGCTTGCATTTTTGCACGGTGTGAACTTGAAAGGTTTTTCTGACCTTTTTTTTTAGGATTTCTGAAGGCTGTAAGGCCTTTTGTTATTATGGTTCTTTGTCATTTGTTTGTCTGGAGCAAAACAATTTGACCAAAAAAATCATATTGCGACTTTGACATTGTCATTTGAACTTTAATATGGTAAACTTTTTACATCTCATCTCATTCTGCTTTTATATCAAAGCTAAAATAAAATCAGAAGGAAAAAACAGCTCTTATATTCTCAACCCAACATAAACTGCTTTTAGAAACCCTGTTATTTAAAGAGTCTATATTATACACTCACCTAAAGGATTATTAGAAACACCTGTTCAATTTGTCATTAATGCAATTATCTAATCAACCAATCACATGGCAGTTGCTTCAATGCATTTAGGGGTGTGGTCCTGGTCAAGACAATCTCCTGAGCTCCAAACTGAATGTCAGAATGGGAAAGAAAGGTGATTTAAGTAATTTTGAGCGTGGCATGGTTGTTGGTGCCAGACGGGCCGGTCTGAGTATTTCACAATCTGCTCAGTTACTGGGATTTTCACGCACAACCATTTCTAGGGTTTACAAAGAATGGTGTGAAAAGGGAAAAACATCCAGTATGCGGCAGTCCTGTGGGCGAAAATGCCTTGTTGATGCTAGAGGTCAGAGGAGAATGGGCCGACTGATTCAAGCTGATAGAAGAGCAACTTTGACTGAAATAACCACTCGTTACAACCGAGGTATGCAGCAAAGCATTTGTGAAGCCACAACACGCACAACCTTGCGGCGGATGGGCTACAACAGCAGAAGACCCCACCGGGTACCACTCATCTCCACTACAAATAGGAAAAAGAGGCTACAATTTGCAAGACCTCACCAAAATTGGACAGTTGAAGACTGGAAAAATGTTGCCTGGTCTGATGAGTCTCGATTTCTGTTGAGACATTCAGATGGTAGAGTCAGAATTTGGCGTAAACAGAATGAGAACATGGATCCATCATGCCTTGTTACCACTGTGCAGGCTGGTGGTGGTGGTGTAATGGTGTGGGGGATGTTTTCTTGGCACACTTTAGGCCCCTTAGTGCCAATTGGGCATCATTTAAATGCCACGGCCTACCTGAGCATGTCCATGGCCCTTTATGGCCACCATGTACCCATCCTCTGATGGCTACTTCCAGCAGGATAATGCACCATGTCACAAAGCTCGCATCATTTCAAATTGGTTTCTTGAACATGACAATGAGTTCACTGTACTAAAATGGCCCCCACAGTCACCAGATCTCAACCCAATAGAGCATCTTTGGGATGTGGTGGAACGGGAGCTTCGTGCCCTGGATGTGCATCCCACAAATCTCCATCAACTGCAAGATGCTATCCTATCAATATGGGCCAACATTTCTAAAGAATGCTTTCAGCACCTTGTTGAATCAATGCCACGTAGAATTAAGGCAGTTCTGAAGGCGAAAGTTGGTCAAACACAGTATTAGTATGGTGTTCCTAATAATCCTTTAGGTGAGTGTATATTGAAAATGTTCATGGATTACTCACTATTTCTATTGCCAATGTGTAAACGGCTTGAAATGAAACTTAAAAAATGAGACCTTCCCCGAGTTCCTAGATTGTTTATGAAAGGCTGTAGACTAATTTTTGTTTGATGGACTCGGGACGTTTCTAC